TAATAAAATATTAAATTATAAAAAAAATTATTTATGGAATTATTAATTAAAATATAATTATAAAAAAATTGTTATTTTTTTTGCACCATACTGTAAATAATAGTCAAGAATTTTTTAAAAAACTTTTTAACTTTCAACTAATAGCTTAAAATAAAATTATCAATTATCACTAAAAAAACTTTGATATTATATATTATTTAAATTTTAATATTATTTTAATATATTAAAAAAATTTTTTTATATAATTTTATTCTTTATATCTTTAAATAAATAAATATTATCTTAATTAATTAATTACGTATTTATTAAATTATTTATAAAATAAAAATTTAATTTTAGATGTCCCAGACTGTATATTCGTATTTTTAATAATTCCTCAAAAAATAAAAATTGATTCTAAATTACCCATATATAAAAATGTTGTACTGATTGTATTATTTAAAGAATTTTGGAGGATCAGGATTTGATCTGAATTATGTTAAAAATTTCATGAAGTTTAAAGATACAATAAAGTTTAGAGAAACTCATTGGATAAATTCTTATTTTAACCAAATCGTTTTATTAAAATTACACCGCCTAAATATTAGCTTTCAAAAAATGGTCATTTCTTATGAATTAATTTATGTATTTACATAATCTTGGTATATAATAGCAATAAAATAATGCAAAATGAAATTAATCCTGCTAGTATAATCGAATCCCGAATTTTTCGAGTATTAATACGCCTTATTATATTATTAAGGCCTGGAAATATATCTAAGAAACGATATGAATATTAATTTATATGAATATGAACAGATCATTGAGATATAGATAAGCTAACATACTCGTTACACGGTTCATCCTGCTATTAATACTTAATAATGTTCCTCTTTGTCTTCCCATTTCTTCTCTTGCTTCATATGCTTGTCTAATGTAATTTAAAAATTTGAGAATTTATTACGATTTTCTCGCGGGCTATTATTATGTGAACCATAAAGATACTCACTCCAGAACCATGTCCGTCATCCTATGAGAATTTTCAATTCGGCTTCTTTCACTTAAAAAATAATCTGTCTCGCTAGTAGCTCCAGATTTGAAAGAACTAGTGCAATCAATTTTTATTATTAGTTCTAATGTATAATAATTAAATTTATGATGGAAAAATAATTAAAATCACCTTATTTCATCTCTCACGGAACTCAACAAATCCGAATGATTTTTTGCTGCTTGAATGTTTGCCTGAATGTGCATCAATAGAACATTAGAATGATGAGCTTATGTTTAAAATTCAAAAATTCAAAAAAAAAATACAAAATAAAAATAATGTTACTTTTGTTTTTTTGAATTCTTTTGAATAATCATATAGAATATCACGATGTCTTTGCAACATGTGCATCATTGATGGATTTGATGCTGTTGATGACGGTCTGTCTACAACCTCTGCCATAGAATTTACCACTAAGTCCAACTTTGAAATAAATAAAATTTTATTAAATTTTATAATATAACACGGTTCTGATATTTAACATCAAGTTTAAGAGATTACCTTTTTGATTAACTCTTCTAACTCCAATTCCATGGCTTCACTAGAATTCCCTGATAATCCGTTATCTCCATATAACCCGTTTCCCAGGCTCCCAGAGCCAATACTCCTTCCAACTTGAGCTGCAAGTTTGCTATAACTGGTCAGCTTTTGTTCAATTTCATTTTCTAACTGGCGGGCCTGTTTGCGCAAAAATTCCCAGGAAGGTTGTTGAGTAGGTGCTGAAGAAATGTCAGTTGATGTATTATTTAAAGGGTTCGAAAGTATTGCTGAAGATGGCGAGCCTGGAGTGAGTGCATTTCGGATCATATTAATATAAAGAAAGTGTCGAAAAAAAAATCAATTACATACATATTGTGTATGTCGATTATTTTAATCAGGATATATAATAAAAATTATCGTATAAAGATATACATACAGTTTAATTTAAATATATTGATTTTTATTACTAATAATAATTACAGTAAATATTCAATTTTTTAATTATTTAATAAAATTGATAAAAGTATATTATTAAAAATTTCTTATTACAAGGAATTAAATAATAAATAAGTTTATAAATTGGTTACTACTTTAGTTATTAAAAAACAATAATAGTACAGTATGGAACAAAAAAATTAAAATTAAAATATATGTATAGTATATTACAAAAATTATTAAAAAAATTAATAATAAATTTAATAATTTGATATTTTAATTTTTAACAAAAATTTTATATTATACTTTTAATTTTAATTAATTTTTTTTTAAAAAAAGTAGATAAATATTATTACTTTATTATATTGTAAAAGTTTTAAAATATTTTTATATAAGAAAAGTGACAACATTTTTCATGTGATCAAATTAATTAATGAGTTTAATACTAGTTTGCTTATAAAAAACTATCAAAGTAATAAAGAAAAATAAATATTAAAACCAATATATATCAAAGATAACATTAAGAAACATGAATATCTATTTAATATTATATATAATGAGATTTAAAAAAAAAATATTAATAAATATTAAATAAAAATAAAAAAATAAACTTATTAATTTTGATACTTTCAGTTTGATATCAGTATTGCAAAGTTTTATACAAAAAATTTTTAATAATTATCAATACTAATATCGAAAAAAATTTTCAATATCAGTTTTACAAAATACCATATCAAATAATACTGATTGGAATCCTAATTATATATTAGTTCTTAATTTTTTATTATTGCATTATTCCTTTGAATAGTTTTATTATTCTCTAAAAATCATATTTCTAATATCTGTAATCATTATTTTTTTATATAAATGTGGATATTCATAAGCAACCAATATTTTATCACAAACTAATTTTTAATTTTTAATTATTATATTGTTCTCTTAAACAGCTACATTATTTTTTTTTTTATAATTGATCTTTCTTTATAGCTTAGAACTTATTTTTTTATTAAAATTTTCTTTGTATTTTATTGTCAGTTATTATATTTTTGGAATGGTTCCTTGTTTTTTTTCAGTAATACTTCTTTTCTAGGTCTTATATTAATCTTTTTACTTTTTCTAATTTACTTATTAACTCTTTTATATTGTTGCTTCTTTTATTTGATATTTTAATATTCTTGTTTTATCACAAATCTTCTAGTTTTATCTATACTATTATTTCCCTTATTATCTTTAGCTGCTAAAGTTTTATTATTATTGAAGCATTTTTATGATTATATTAGAATAATTGGTCATTGTTTCTTTTAAGTATGCATTTGTCTTTTTATACTTAATTGTTATTTTTGTTGCAGACAGGTTTTTTTTTTTTTTTTCAATTCAGAATGGTTGTCTTTTGAAACAATCACTTTGTTGATTATATTATATTATTTTTTGATATTTAGTTATTCTGCTAACTAATTCTTGTCTTTCTTGTTTTTCTTTTTTAATTATTATTAAAATCTAATCATTTAAACAGTCTTATTTCTGACTTTTCACACTTTGAAGCTATTTTTTTGTCATTATTTCAATTAATTTCAAATATATTTTTTAGAATTTCATGTCATATTTATTTTCTTGAGTCTTTGTAGCACTTATCCCACTTGGCTTGAAATTTCTACTTATCTTTTTTTTCTCTTGCTTCTAATATTTTCAATGTCTAATTTATTGTCCATGGATTTTCCTATCTTAGTAATATCAATATTTATAATATGAGTCTCTAAATTCTCACAAGTAGTTCTCATCTATATCAATTAATTTTTTTTCAACAGATAAAAATAAATTCCTAAACTAAAAGCATGGACATAACTCAAATATCTTTTACTATTAAAAAAGTTTATTTTTAAATATAATAATAATAATAAACTATTTACAAAATTTTTTTACAATTTAAGCCACTGAATTCAAATATTTTTAAGTTTTGTTCTTATTAAAATAATAAGTAAATAGTTATGTCCTCTTCAAAAAAGATATAATTAATCAATAAAATTTTATATATTAAACAGTTTAGAAATTCACCTTTACTTACAGATAGTCTTTTTTTCTTTTCAAGAATTCATCTATAGTTTTTTTTGCATTATAGCATCTCTTAATATCAAGGTTTTTTATAATCATTTATTATTTTAATATTTTTTTGATTAATAATACAGATGCTCTGTAATAGTTTAAATAAAGAAACATGATGATCATCAATAGTTTGTCATTATTAAAGGAAAATTTCATTAATGAAAAGTGAAGCAAACAATTCTAAAGATAATTAAAAAAAAATATAGTTTTTAAATATATGTTTTTTCAATATAAATAAATAGAATAATATATATAAAGAATAATATACATATAATCTTACTAGTTCTTCTGAAAAACCATATATGTAAAAGTTTTAATAAAATTCTTAATGATTTCAAAAGACAGTGAACTTAAGTAATTATTATTTGAATGCCAACAGAGTTGGGACTTTATTAAGATCAAAAGAGCATCTTTTTATATATGTTGGCTTTATACAATATAAAAATATAAAAATAAATAAATATAAAAATACATATATCTATATAAGGCTTAATTTCTAGAGACATATGTACTTAATTAATATAAAGAAATATAAAAAAAAATAAAAAGAAAATAATATAAACAATATGTACATTCACTCATAATAGTTAATTAGTGACATCTTGGCAGCATGGCACATCATCAGAAATCAGAATCATATTATATATATGTCTGACAATTATCTAAAAATGTGTTTCAAACTTATAGGTTGTTAGGGGTGAATCAGATACCTTCCAGGATGTCCAGATTGCCTGGTACAGTATGGATCCCATAATACAGTTACAGGTCAAGATTATTACAATAAAATAATAAAGAAAAAAAATAAAACAAAATAATAAATAAATTATAATATTAATCAAACACATTAATAATACAGTATCTTATAATCCTTTAATGTCAATCACTAATTGATAACACATATTAATTAGTAAAATTATATTGAATTAATAATTACTATAAGTTTTGTATCACTCTGGAGCTTCAGGATTGATAGATGTCATGTAACTTCAGATATGTATTTTAGTTTAATTATTAATATTCTTTGATCAAAAGTTTAAATTATTGATTATTGAGAAATCAATATTAATAATGTTTTTTTGACTATTAATAAAAGAAATTTTTTATCAAAAAACTCTTTCTGCTGATCCTTTTGCCAACCCAAAAAAACAAACGTTCTCAAAAGATTTTTGTCTTTATGATAATAAAGTCTATATACTTTCCTTAAAAACAACACTGGTCTTAACCAGCTAAGCGAGCAGAAGCTACC